TCACTTGACACTCCCTACCTTTACCAATCGTACAACACGCACCGGCTAACATCCTATTTGATAAAACTAAAAGAACAATCTCTTAGAGCAATGGAAATGCTCTTGACGCCGGGGGGCACCATGGGGCGTTTAATGCCTTCTCGGCGTCAAAAAGCGTCCCCCTTTGGGCTTCATCCGGGCGTCATCGCCCTGCGTCAAACGTTTAACGCACAAGTGGCGTTGCTCCCCCCACGGCTATTTTAGCCATTACACCCAAAAATAATTCTTTAAATTATTTTTTTAAATAAATATCGAACTTCAATCCTCAATCTTCTTCACATCTTTCCTTTCTTCAATCTTCAATTTCATTCACACACATATCTTTAATCTCCTTCAAAATTTTTAAATTTTTGTTAACATGAATCCCTCTGGTTCTTCTCCCCCGGCGGTCTTGAGCCAAACGAGTACGCGATGTGGCTCTTCCAAGCGTACAAGAGTAATCCGGCGTTGTTCGAAACGCAAACATCAGTGAATCTCGATGACCTAGAGTCTGTTCCGGAGACTAAATCGGAACTAACGGGAACAAAAAAATGCACGCCGAATGAGTCGCAATGTGAAAGGTGAAAAACTGATGATCGAGGCGGCATGGTCAATCCAAAAGTTGACATCGGAGGAAGAATGCTTGTTGGCGTCGGCTTTGGTTGACGTCTCCGAGCATCATATCGTTGGTAAAACTTATATGTTTTCTAATATATTTAAGTTCTTATTTATATATTTGTGGGCGAGGAGAAGTTCTTTGCGGCGATGAACAAGGACACCTACTACCGTACCCGAGACCAACTCACTTCCAAATGGGATCGCATCAACTGTAGAGTTCGAAAGTTTATCGAAGTTTAAGAGGAATGCTCTCGGTCCTGGAAGAGCGGGACGAACAACGCCGATGTTCTCTGGCTTGCCACGACCCGGTATCAATACGACAGGCATCAAGGCAAGGTGCCCGTTGATCTTTGGAGAATTTTAAGTCATTCACCGAAATGGCAACAACTCAACATTTCCAAGGCCGGATCCTCAAAGAAAAGATTTTCCGCCGAGGCCGAGGTTGAGGTCGATGACACTATCAGTTCGTCTGATCAAAGGCCTCCCTCCAATGTAGACGATTCCAATGACGAGGACCCCATTTCACGGCCAATCGGAAGAAAGAAGGCAAAATTCATTGCTTTAGGTTCTGGAGGGTCTGACTCTGTTTTCTTCTCACGACGATATTAGTCGGGCAATGGCTGAACAACTTCGGGTGTTCAATATTAGAGAAGAAGAGAAGGAGAGAAGAAGGCATCCGAAGGAAGAGATCGAAATAATGGAAACCGACCTTGATACGTTATCGGGCTTCAAATATATGCTTTTCGAGAGAAGACAAAAAGAGATCAAGGCTAAATATAACTTGCCTTAGTTTTTTATTAATATTTTTTAAATTAAATGTTCTTTTTTATTGAATGAAATTTTTATGAATTATTGTCGTTTTAATTTAATGAATGTAATTTTTTTATGAATTATTCTCATTTCAATTTAATTAAATAATTAAATTTTGTTAATTTAAGTTTAGAAGATGTTTATTTAAAATGTAAAAAGTAAAAATTTGAAATCCCAGATTGAAGCCATAGAGCTTCAAACATATTTCCAGAAAATCTGTGAAATAAGTTAAATTTGACATGACAGAGGAAAGTTTGTGCTCTTAGAGTGGCTCCACCGTGTCTGAGTGTGTGACTGTGAGTCTGGGTGGCCAGCATATTCATATGGGTAACTGCCAAAAAAACACTCGTTGAGTAGCCCCACATGTCACCACCTTAACCAAACTCAAGGACTCAAATGAACGGATGATTGTGCCCATATTGTCCTTTTCACCTTTTTTCTATGATCCATGTTCCCTCCCAAATTATACCCAAACAAATAAATCAACATTTTAACGGTTCACACTTCACATTAACACAAAATATCAGTTAAAAAAAATTAGACTGACAATTTATATTATTGTAAATTATTTCACTAGCACAAAATATTAGTGCATGTATCCATACTTTAATTCTTTCTATTTCACCTCCCCGTTATCACCCACACATGGACATACCCACACTATAAGCTACTCCTAATCTAAAGAGAGTAGCCTAAGATAAAAATCTCTCTCTCTCAATGTATATATTTATTTCGAGCCAAAGAAGATATACTTTGAATTTTAGTTGAACAAAAATTGTAATATAAATCAACACAAAAATGATATTATTAACTTTATCTTGTTAAAAACGTTTAAAATTTTATTTTGTTATTTTAGTATGCAATACAAGCTGAGAGTAATTAAAATTCAAATATGTTCAGTTTGACTCAAAAAAGTCAAACTGAATAAATACCTGAGATAGAGATACTACTTATAACACATTTCAAAATAAACTTCTCATTTATTTTTTTTGTGAAGTTTAAAAAAAATAAAAACTATTCTGTATATTGTTGAAATTGATATTAATGAATAGGAAGTGAGGTAAACAATTCAATACTTTCCTTTAAAAAAATGAAAAGTTTATTCTACGAAAAAAAACCTTTACTCCATCTTTTAGAAAAGGAGAGAAGTAACATATCTGTATTGGGTAGGCTAGCTATAGGCAGATGTACTTCTTTGAAATGTTGTTCCACTGATATTAAAAAAAAATTGCCACCAAGGGCCTTCTAGTCATTTCAAAAGAACTAAATTACTCCCTCCGTCCCATTTTAAATTGTCTGTTTGCCTTTTTTTCTCCGTCCCAAAATAAGTTGCGTGTTAGTTGTTTTCGTAAACTTTTAAAAATAAAATACCTAAACTACCCCTAAAATAAATCACTCTTCTTCACCTTATCTTCTCATTCATCATCACCTCTTCTAAAAAGTAATGGCAATTTGGAAAAATCAATTCTATTTTTTATTTTTCTTAAATATGTCCAAAAATCAAAAAAGGCGATTTAAATTGAGACGGAGGGAGTAATAGACTTCTTGGGTTTGCACTCAAACGCTCACGAACCAAAAGAGTGAGTCTATGAATCAGGATATCTCTTCACTTTCATTAAACTTCATTTATGGCACCATTCATAATTCCCATTGTAACCCACTAGATTCGTACGTTGCACGACTTAATTATAAACTATATAATTAGAATTAGGGAACACATTGATAAAGAAAAATGATAAAATTAAATAAACATAATAACATATAATCAAATATTAAAGAAATTGTGAATAGTATACATGCTCATCATACAATATCACTTCCATTGAATTTTCTTCTCTTGCCCAAGCCAGGAGTAGACATGAACAACTCGTAACATAAGCATTCAAGTAGTTCGACTATTGTCAATCTCGGCAAGCGCATTAAACATACTTTTCGAACGTTTTGAGACATTTTTCGAAAATGAGTCGAATTGGGATGAGAGGTATGAAATGTTTGGAGTATAAGTAGTATATATTATTGGGCAATCAATTTTACCCATTAAATGTCTTGATTTAGTGTATCTATTTAATTAATATGATTTGATACAAAATATGCATAGAGTCACGCACCAACTGTACTAGCCACGTGGTTCCATAGAAATACACTACCCATTTATTTAATTGGATTTGACATAAAATTTGCGTCGAGCCATGCGCCAACTTTGCTACGCACGCGGTTCTATAACAATACACTACTCATTTATTTATTTTGATTTGGCATAAAATTTGTTTCGAGTCATGCACCAACTTTACTATGCAGGCAGTTCTATATCAATACATTGTCCATTTATTTATTTTGATTTGGCATAAAATATGCATCGAGTCATGCACCAAGTTTACTATGCATGCAGTTCCATATGAACACACTACCTTCCCAAATTCACAGGCTCATTTTTCTCTCTAGCCCAACACCCAACCCCAGCCCATGTAGTTTAGGCGGGAGAATTCACTATTCATTTTTCTACATTTTTTTTCTATATAGATAAAGATCCAATCTCCCTCCCTCTATGGTTGTACCAGCAACAAACGGAGCTAGACACGGGCTCCATACCACAATCTCATCATCAAAACGCATGAATTCTCAACCACTTGCAATCGCTTGCAATCCGTGGAGATTAATACTCTCTCCGTCCTAAAAGTATCTTCCTATTTGTGTTTACAAAGTTGACCGACTTTATTTTCAATTCAATTTATTTGATTGTAAGTGTAAAATTAAAAAAAATAAAATTTATATATTTTAAAGCTGAACAGTGCACAAATCTTAAAACTTAGTGCCACTCAAATGTCTAGAACAGCAAAGCAATGAACATATTTAGCTCACATGATTGAAAAGCTTGAAAGTATTAAGAACCTTAAAACATTATTAAAAAATAAATTAACTAATATAATATGTAAATTTGGATAAGGTAAGAGTATTTCATCTTTCATATTTTAAACAAATCCAATAAACTAGCCAAGTAACTTATTGCAGAGTCTTGTCCAAGGAAAATAGTTTTGGGGAAATGAAGCTAATTTACATTATAATTGACAACTGTTAAAAAAACATGTCTTAAATAAGTTAAGTTTGTATAATATTTTTGAAGTTAAGAATAAAGTTACAATGGGAGATAACCAATTCAAGTCTATACCTCCTCACCTATTTTTTTGTCACTTCTTTATAGAAGGGCAACAAAGTCAGGTAGCCCTCTAGTCCTTCCAGCTTTTATGCACATGCATAAATTCACTTATGTCATACTAGGAAGACAAGCTGTTATAAATACAATATTACCCCTGGCCCTTACACCGACATCAAACTAACTAATCCCATTGTTCCATTATCATCTTCATGTATGGGATTGACACAATTTGTAATAAGCAGGACTTGAATGATTGAGGTTGCATATAGAAAAAAGAAATCATGTGAACCACATAATCTTTTCACTCAAAAAATGTCAAAGAAAATTTTGAGACAAACCAAATAGGAAAGTAGGAAAACAATTATGAAATGGATGGAATATCTCCAGTTAAATTCACTTAATCACATAAACCAATTGATTTCATTGCAAATATATTATTCATCTTAGGAATCAAAGGTCAGATCCCATTTTGAATACATTTCAAGAACATGCCAGCAATCAATCAAACACAGAAAGGCAAAAACAAATTCCAAAAACCCAATATATAATTTAATTGCAGTAATATGATTGTCCAAAATCCAGACAATTGTAACAAAACCATTCTTCAAGCGCACAGATCTCTCCAAGAGGATTCGAGAGTTTAAAACTTGAGCCAAAGATGAAATTAGAAAAACTAGAAATTTGAAGAGCAGGAAGAAATAAGTAAAACTAAGCAGTTAGAACAACAGCACCTCCTGCCTCCTTGATCTTCTTCTCTGCGATTTTCGACACGAGCTTGGCCTTCACCACGACCGGCTGATTCCTGGGGAGCACGCCCTTACCCAAGACCTTGAAATACCCGAACTGAGTGACGTCAATCATCGGAACGCTGTCCTTCGTAGCCTTGCCTTTGACCTCCTCCGGGACGAGCGACCAGAGCTGCTCGATGTTGACGATCGGGCAGTGGAACCGGTTCTTGAGCTTGTGGAAATACCTCATCCCGACTTTCCCGAAGTATCCGGGGTGGTACTTGTCGAAGAGGATCCGGTGGTGGTGCATGCCTCCGGCGTTCCCGCGGCCTCCGGGATGCTTCCGGTGCTTTCCGATACGGCCGTGGCCGGCGCTGACGTGGCCTCTCTTCTTCCGGTTCTTCTTCAGATGCGTCGTCATTCTTCCTGGTGCGCCGATTTCTCAGACGGCAGCTTGCAGAGTTTATGTGGAATTTGAGGGGCTAGGGTTAGGGTTTGTGTGAGGGAGGAGTGGAACTTTACATTTTTACCCTCCGTGGGTCGCCGTTTTTAATGGGGATGGGGTTTGTGGTCTCAAGGGGTATACAAGTAATTTCAACATTGAGGGACGTAACGGATTGGGCCAATGAGCCCATTTCCCAGTTCCAACTTAGACAATTATGCACTCCCTTCATTTTAAGAAAAAAAATCTTTATTTGATTATTAAGAATTTTATTAAAGTGTTATAAAGTGGAAATTTTTAAGCTTAAACTTTACATATAGGAATCACAAATAAAAAGAAGAACTATCTCTTTGATTTTCATATTTTCAATACCCACACTCCCAAATTAAATTTTTTATGTATTCTTCACAAAGAAAAAATAAAATCGAGCTATTTGAATTTAGCATTCCTTAACCATGTCTAATTAGATCTAAGGATATCAAATGGGAAGAACTATATCAAAGGATATCAAGAGTTCCAAGTACAAGCATATAGGAAGAACTAGTACATTTAATTTAATTTTCCTCTAATGTACTACAATATAAGTTTATAGAGCTAGAGAAAATCAATATAACGCTACTGTAGACATGTGATGTTAGTGTAGTCATTTGAGATTTGACTTATGTGTATTGTTCTTTATACCGTGTCGTTAGAGTTCACGTTTAGAACGTATGTGAGTCACGCAAAACAAAACATAAAAAATACTTAATTTATTAGTGAAATTAGTATGTGAGGTGAATTTAGTTTTTTTAGTGGAGTGTGGCTATAACCATCCATTATTACTTCATATTTTTTTAAATTTTTAGAACACAATTGCCAGCCATTATTTAAAATAGTTTATAAATTACGGAGTATTTTTTATTACCACCCATTATTGAAAATAGTTTAGAAATTAGTTATCACTATTTTTTCTGCATCTGCCAATGGACCTCTATCGCCAATCACACCCTGCTGGCCACCCCGCCTGTCATTAGCAATCATCATTTCGTACCTCCCAAAATATTTTCATTTCAGATTTCTAAGCGTCATTATTTTTTCATATTTCAAAACCCAAATCATATCTTACCATGTTTCGCTAACCAAACAGGCCCCAAGTGATCATGAACACACAAAAAAAAAGACTCAATGATATGAATGAAATGGTACATAATTATGGATGTTGTTCATGGGGAGATCAGAGATTCATCACATCCATGGTTTCTCACACTAGAAAGATCTTCATTCTAAAACCAAATTACTAACAGAACCCAAATTTCTATTCCATGGGAGATTGTGTTACAGACATATTCTTAGCCAACCAAAAAGAAAAGACTTTCAAAATGTTAATTCTTTGGACCAAAACCGAAACCCAACAGAACCCAAACTTATCTTCCACATATGGCATTGGGTGACAGACATATATTGGTTAACCCATCCAAAGCTTCAAAACTCTATCTTTACCACCAGAGGCAACCTTCTCGCCGTCTGGACTCCAGTCCACAGCAAAGACCTTTCAAAATGTTAAAAACCATGTTATTATTAGACGGTGAAAACCGTTCCATGCCGTTTATTTCCTTGGAAAGGAGTAGAGCTTACCTCGTCTGCGTGGCCAGGAAGATCTTGTTTCAACTTTTGTGTCCGAATATCCCAAACCTAAATACAAGAAAACAAAGCCCTTCTCAAAACGAAGCATTTTTGTATTATGTAGCCTGGCTAAAATGGACCACTTGTTCTAAGACCACAGGTTGAAGGGTAAAACCGTAAAACGAGAAAGTAACCCAAATTATATTTACCTTAAATACTGTGAAAAGTCAAACACAAGTGTTTTTAGGGACAAAGGAAATATACGCTAAGCTCTATACAATCATTCTCCATGACTTTCTTTGTTCATTTTACAATATCGATCTCGCAATAGAACATGACTAACAAATATTTCAACTCATTGTCATTTCATGATTGTTTTAGAATTCACTTCATTATTCATTCTCAATAATTTAAGAAGAACGGCTAGTTAAAAATTAATTATCTACTAAATATATTTCCAAGAATAGTTATTTAAAAAATCAAAGTTTACTGTAGTACAAATTTTAATATAAAATGGTTGTTCTATCATTGTCTGAAAATGAATTGCCCACAATGAAATGTACTTCAATTATTAGGTGACTGACTCCCCACAAGTACCGCAAAAAAGTATAGTTATCATGCGAAGGCACATAGGCCGGAGCCAGAAATTGGCACCACAATGAGTAATTATGATAATTCCAATCAAATTCCTCTTCTGATTGACAAGAACCAAGAAAAATGCATATTTTCTTACCTTCAAAGTTGAGTCTTTGCTCCCACTCAAAAGCAGCCTACTGTCAGCTGACCAGCTGTAAGATAACATGATCATAGTAAATAAATACATCAGCATTCATAAGTAAATCTGATATCACTACAGATATTCTCATAAACTCACCTGATCTGATAAACAGGTCCCACATGACCGCGAAAAGCAGCAATGAAATTTCCAGTGCTGCCATTCCATAGCTTGACTGACTTATCAAATGAGGCACTTGCTACCCATTGTCCATCAGGGGAGAAGTAAACATGATTGACAAGCTGCAAACAAGAAATGTAAATAATTAATATTTGCATGTGTAAAGAACAGGAAAGGTTCATGATTTTATCATCAATTAAGATAATCTTTTCCAATGAGAACACCCATGCCTGCTGATGACCTGTCATGCGCGCTTTGGAGTGTTTACTGACAGCCGGTTCCCAAAGAATCATTGTGAAATCATCTGATCCAGAAACCAATCTTTCAGGGGCATTACCCTTCATTTTATTGTATCTTTCTAATGCTACCTGAAGAATGTGAGCAAATAGTACAAAAATTTGAGTGAAAGGGAACACTATTTTTTAAAAAAACATTTTAACATCAAAAGTTACCTTTTTCATTTCCTCCGGAGAAGAAAAATTCTTCCTGTTATGATCAAAAGCGCCAGTACGCAGTACATATTCGGTGCTTAATGCCAATGAGTTAATCCAATGCCCATGGCCCTACATTCATAGTGAGAAATAAAATTACTAAAGAAACAAGCTAATCATAACAAGGCATCTAATATGATAGCCAGTTGTTATGGACTGTAAGAGAACAAGGAAAAGCAACTAAGGAAAAAATCTGAACAAGCAATTACCGTTCTCTTAACAAACAACATTTGACATTAAGTTTCTATTCCCTCAACTTGGGCATGAATACGAAGGCACTGGGGACAATAAGGCTGAGACCAATTTGGACAATTGGGGAAATATTAAAAAAAGAATAATATCCAGGAAAAAATAGTGGTCCATGTGATAAAAGTATTCTTCTGATGCTGATTTGGCAATGGTATCATTGTAGAGTAGTGTGAAAGTTGCCATGCATATACCTCATTATGCATTTTATACATCTATACAATAAACAAAAGCAATGCCTTGCAAAACGATCATTGGAAACTGATATATTTTAGTATTAAGTTGGAGTTACTCAACAGAGCCACAAGACACTTGAGCCAAATAAACAGAATCATTGAATCCAAACAACGAACTACTTCAACTCAAGATCTTATTAATGCAACATTGTTTCTTTGATTTTTCATTGTGCAATCCCCTACCACTCCCCTCAAATGGACGTGCATGCACAAAGACACTTCGTTTTGATTTTCATTTTCATGTTTTGGGTTGGAATTGTTTTGTTTGGTTTGGAATTTCCTATTGTCTTATGCTAAGATGATGCTATGCAAATTGAACAGCAACATGAAATACATAAATTTGTGAGATAAAAAGTATATATTTAATGCTAACCAAAATAAGAATTCACCTTCAGTTCACGAATAAGCTTTCCCTGTGAAGTTTCCCATACCTTGATTGTGCAGTCTTGAGACCTGTAAACGCAAATGATAATCATAACAAAAAATATTTACAGGAAAAAAATTGAACCTTACTAGAGATGGCATGCAACAGTGATACTGTTTCCTTTGGTCATCACCACACAAAAACTAGAAGCATTCAATGAATCAAAGGAATAGACAAAATACAATATTGTATACCAAGTAGGCCCACCATAATAAGATGGTTCGACAGCTAGATAGTTATTTAAGTCTGGCGCAAGTTTAGCATTTAAGAAAAAGGTTTGCTGTAAAATGGTGCAAGCTTACAGTAATATACCCTTTGAGAGTAGCAACACAAAACAAAACCGGAAAGAAAGGCATGAATAATAAGACAGATGAAATAGCAGGCTTACCCTGTGTATATCACTCCATCTCCACCCCATTTCACACAAGTGATAGCAAGTGTGTGCCCATTAAGACAAATAATACACTTCCTTAACGTAGCATCCCATATCCGTGCAACACCATCTTTACCAGCACTTACAAAACGGCGACATGGAGCACTAAGGTGTACAGGTTCCCAGGAAATACCAGTTATCCATTTCTTGTGGCCCTGAAATGTAAGTAAGAATATATCTTAAAGTTTGAAGAGCGGACATAAACAATAGACGATGTGATTCCTATAATCTGCACAAATGTAACATGAGGAAAAGCAAAATACACAGATGGCATGACAGGCATATTTATCAAAAAAATACATGCATATTCAAAGAAGAGAAGACATTATGCTTGACTATAAATGAATGCCAACACTCTCATAACTGAAGGAATGTTAAGTTAATTGTATAGAAGTTCCATAGAGAATAAAAATCAAATTTACAGCCCACAGAAACTAATCTTTTGGTTACTGTTGGTCATCAAATCAGTTTGCAAATATGTCATGGCATATGCATACCAAGATTGTTTAGCTACGTTATATGATGCCATGAGTTCCTAACAGAGTATATCAGAAGGTGTGCACTGCCACGCTGGTCAAAATGCTATTTTGGAAGTGGAAAATTCTAGAGGTGGTTAACAAGCCAAGCGATAAGAAGATTGATAAGCTATTGTCGCAACTCAGTACATGAGGGGTACAATGACATAAATATAATATCTTAGACTGATCATGAGTTGTTGGATCAAGCACTATGACTGGAAGAAGATTACATATCAAAACATGCTTGGTAAATTACTAAAAAGATGCACTTCTGCAACAAAAAAAGTTCATAATCAGGTTTTGCTTTACACATCCAATACTACATATATTACTACTTTCCAGTTTTACCCTTCTAATCTAAATTATTGAGGATCTATCAGTCGTTTATTCTCTTCTAATCGTGCAATTAACTAATTCCTTAATATGTGTGACACTCCAAAGTGATATCCTTTTAAAAACTGATGCTGCAAAAGGCATCAACTCAAACTCACTATAGGTTTATCATTTATCACCATAAGAAACATGTAATGACTGAAAAAATTATCCTTTTTGCCTTTTTGTACCAAAATAATTATCGTTTTAGAAATAGCATTTAAAGTTAAACTTTAACCAGGGTAGCAGGATCATTTTGTAAGGTTCATTAATATGTGTGCACTTTTCTAAGTTGTCAACTATTTTGTGCAATATGGAGTAAAAAAACTAACAAAAAACAAGCTCAAAGACAAGGCTAGCTGGTGCCTAGTGGTAATCACTAAAATTGAACAGAGGCACAGAAATTGAGACTTACAGTAAGAGGACTGCCCAAAGGCTTGCCAGTCTGTGGATCCCAGCATATAAGCTCTCCAGATTTACTTCCACTCACAAGGTATTTACCATCAGGTGACCATGCAATACAAAGAACCCAGTTTTTATGACCTAGTTGCAGAGAAAACATAGTACCACATCAGTAAGTTCATAAAATATCTATCAACTTGCAATGATCCATTAGCTGGTAAACAAACAACAATCATGATTTAGATGAGGAATTCCTAGAAAATCCTGGTGCACCCCAAGGTTGAAATGTACAATTTGTAATGGGCATGGGAAATATTTTGAGTCTAACCTTTACATGTGAACAACGGTGTCTGAGTATTCAAATCCCATAAACGAACTGTGGTATCACCTGAGCCACTCGCTAGCTGCTGTCCATCAGGACTGAAGACCACTGAAAGTACAGCTTCCTCATGCCCTGCAATTTACCAATGCAATGCAGCACATAACTTCATATAAGTGCAAAGATAAAGACGTTTATTGATATTGTAAATAACTATGGCCACCAACTCAATGTAAAAGAGACTTAGTGAGCCATAAAAAACACGTCTAATCCAACCACGCAAGTAATGTCTTCACTATCAATAGTGATTAAAATCGAGAAAATTTAATACCAGCAATTGTTGACGAACAGCGGGTTATAGGACGGATCCGGAAAACTGATTGAGGTTGATATACTATAGTCAATACTTTCTCCACCGAAACTGCAAATATGTTCATGAATCGAAAGTGTCAATTTAGAGTGGCATGCCACAAGCTACTAGTTACATTACTTGATGCTGAAACAGGTACATACTTTGAATAATTCAGTCACGGATCCAATTACCTTTTTTCTTTTCTAAATATGACCCAAGATGTACCACCAGCTCTTGGTCTGAGATATAGAATGCATATGGCAATTTATCGTCCTAAATATGAGAAAATTCAGTGGGTGCAACCAAGCTCTTAGTGTAATAACAACTTACATTCTAAACTTCAATAAACAGTTCATAAAAACTTGAAAAGGCACAGAGGGGGGAAAATGTTAAAATTCTTACGGAATGCAATTAAGTGAATTAACAGCTAACTAACCAGCTACATACCCCAGTGGCCATTGGATTAAACAACAGCCCAGAATCCCATGTAATGGTCCAGGGAGGGTGTGCACGCAGACCTTACCCTTACTAGAAAGTAAAGAGGTTGTTTCCACTTGAACATACCATTTTTTGTGTACAACTAAACTTAAAGAACAAAAAGTACCTTGTTTGAGAGTTCTACTACTAAAAAATGAATATGGTATTATTTGAAGTTCACTTAGTTAATCTTATTTCCACCTACATTGTCAAGGAGCTTATTGACCATTTGATTGAGCTCTTTGGGGCCAGCAGATTCAGGAAGGTACATCTGAGCTCCAAGTGGATTGCCATTGGGGTCGGTTAGCCGACACATGACATTGTTTGTGGAATCTCTGACCGCCATGAGATCCATGGGTGGAAGGGTGGAGACTTCAACATCCATTGCTTCCACCGTTTATCTGGCAAACTCAACCATGTAACCAAAAGTCCAAAATCGAAACAAGCAAGGAAAAATTAGGATAAAAATAAACAGTAAAGGAAAAAATAAGGCCTAAAAGTAAGTTTTTAAGGGGCGGACCAAGAAAATTCAGGTCACGGGGTGCAATTCATATAAGCTATGAGCAAATAAATGATCTACAAAATTAAAACTTGAAGTGTGAGAAGAAGGTGCACACCGCATGGATTCGAGGAGCATATAGTTAAGAAAACTCGACTATAAATTTATATGGGTTGTACAAAATATCACCCAATATTCTCTAAGAACAATAATAACAAAATAAAATATAATGTTTTTCACTCCAAACTGAATGTCTTTTGTTTGAACAATCAAAATCAAAATTAAAAACAAATTGCATTAGCTTACGAAAACAGTGCTGAAACCCATTCACACAAAAAATGAAAGAGAGAAGAAAGACCGTGAAACAGTACTGATTTTTCTTAGATCGAACACTACATACTAAAAATACAACATACAAAGTACCTTTCCTCATTGTTAGAGTATAAAAAACAGTATTGAAATTTGAAACCCAGAAGAAAACGACGGTGAGATTGTGAGGTGCCTGGAGAACTGAGAGGAAAAGTCGAAGCAGTAACCTTTATTCAAGAAATGAATCAATTCACCCCTTCGAAAAGTTCAACACTTAAACCATTGGGCAACTTCAGTAAAATGAATCTCTCAACCATAAGACTAGCTGAGAAACTTTTGCAGAAAACTAAATTCAAACAAGAAAAGAGAAACCTACCAGAGATGGATCTGTTCTGGTTTTTGGAGAACGACGACGAGGAGCAGGGCCGGTCCTGAGAATTCAACGGCTTGGGCCAAGATAAAAAAAAGGCCCTAAATATAAAGTCTAGCAAATTAACATATGTAAACTAATTATATATAAATGATAATTAAAGTAATATTATTAGAAGAAAATAAATAAATGACCAAAGTGTTTCTTATCCGGCTTGATACTTTCTCAATCTTCATCTACTTTTCTCTTTTTACGTTTTTGACTACCGGATAGATGTTTAGGACCGGTAGCTATTGAATTATTTCTGAAATAAAATTCAAATTCATAAATTGTACTACTTAGTACAATCAAATAGGGAAAAACAAGCTAATAAATTCATACTATATCATAAACTCATATCAATTGATTCAATTTGTCATTTTTTCAGTTTGTTTTCTTTTTCAGTTTTCAGTCTTTTTATATGTATATCTTAAATTCATGTCAATTTGTCAATTTTTCAGTTTTTTTTCAGTTTTTCAGTTTTCAGTTTTATATATATATCATAAATTCAAATCAATTCATCCAAATCAAATAAGAATATATGGAACCACTAATTCATTCATATTTCATAGCAATTAGCAAAGATTTCAAACTAAAAATTACGGAGTAATAATTAACGCTAGATTTTAAATCCAAAGAATGAAACAATGAGAGAAAAAAAATTGGAAAAAAATTACTAAATTGGAAAGATAGTGAATACGGAATACCTGGAAGGTGCAACGGCGTCTGGCGGCAGCGGCGGCGGCGTCTCTCTACCGGCGGCGTTCTCAGCAGTCGGCTCTCTCTTTCCGAGGTTTCGGCAGGAGGCTTCGTCCTTCCAGCGGTTTGCGTTAGTTGTCTACTAAGCAGGAAGGGGTGGGGCGGCTAATGAGATGGGCTTTTGACATATTGGGCTGGGTGCTAGGCTTCTTATATACACATACAACATTAAAAAATAACTGGGCCCTTACAATCATTGGCCCGATCCGGATGGACTGTGTCTTCTTATTGGGCCGGCCCGGGTGGGAGATCACTTAAGAGCAGCGTACACAACAAATCCTCTACTAATGATTGACAGTAATTTTAATTCGATTATTAATAATTTTAAAAATTTCACGTCCCTTTGTGATAGAGATTTCACAATCGTTTTTGTTTCTTTTTTAATGAGGCTGCACACCTACTACTTTATAATTAATGATTGAGGAATTTACTTAAATAGCACTAAAACATAATGACTTTTTCTACTTTATAGAATCATGTTTTTTTCTTAATGTAGCACTTTTAATTATTATCCATTAGTCATTATTCAAGTAAATATTCGCCATCATTGGACATTATTCCTCATTCTGGACATTATTAAGTGTCATTAAGGGAATAAAAAATTTTAGTGCTATTTAGAGAAATGACTTAAGTTTTAGTGTTATTTAGTGCAAATATTACTTAATTATTATAAAAAATAAGACGTGACAAAAATATTTAATTTTATGGAATAAAATACACATGCAAAAAAGTATGGAAAGATTAGACTTTAGAGTGAAGAAAATTGCAGAGGAAAAGGTACTACGGAGTAATATACATCTAAATTTTTAAAGGAATATACTAGAGGTACACCAAATGTGTACCCCAAATGTATACCACTCTCCTTTCTATCATTCATTTTATTTTATTTTTTTTTTATTTTTTTTTTTGAATTTTTCTTACTTTTTTTGTGATGATGGAGGGATGAGGATGTTTGGGGTACACTCTTGGTGTACCCCTAACATTTTCCATTTTTAAATTGACATGAGAACCAATTGTTGGACTATCATCCTACTCTTGCGGATTGATGCTTGACGGCCATGTCTTTGGCTACTTGCAGCCTTCAACTCCATTTTGCACTGTTTGTACAGCAAAGAAGAATCCCAGTTAGAAATCCCATTAAAAGATTGCAATTCGGCACCAAATCGAATACCCACTTCTTGTTTTCAGAACATTCTTCCAAGAAGCGCTTTGGGTATGTTTCTCCGGCGACATCTGCTTCCCTTAGTGGCTGTTCGTCCCAGAATCGCGGAAAAGATCTGTCTTTGGGAGAGCGGGATTCGCTGTCGGGCCAGAAAATCCGGAAATGGGTTCATCTGGTCCGGGACATTTTTCCCGGCGGAAGCTGGTGGAGGCTCTCGCCGGAGGAGGTGGATGCCGGAATGACAGCGGAGCCAGTGACTGTGGTGCGAGCGCTTCGGAGGATGTGGGAGTTGATTGCTGAAGATAGGTGGCTCATATTTTCTGCCTTTGCAGCACTTGTTGTAACTGCTGTATGTTCTTTGATTTTTACCTTGCATCATTTTAAAGCTCTAGACTTGCAAAGAAGATCTTGATTTTGTGAGCTTTCATGTGAACAGTTGGAAAAACATTGAAGAAGTGATTGGATTGAGTATTATTCCTTCCAAGCATTGATTTCTGAGTTGTTTTTTTTGGTTTGATGTGATCAGTTATCTGAGATTTCAATCCCACATTTTCTGACGGCATCAATCTTTTCAGCGCAAAGTAGCAGCATTCCAGTGTTCCACAGGAATGTACGCCTCCTGGCCGTGCTGTGCGTAGTTGCAGGAGTTTGCAGGTCAAGATTTTGTATGCTGAAAGCTCCCTTCTTTTATAGAACAAAAACTAGAACCTTGTATAATCCAAACTTCATTGGGGTCTAGGGGGGTCAAGATGTATGCAATCTTACACCTATAAAAACAGAGATGATGTTTCCGTTTGAACCCAGATGCGTTGATGCATTTACTGCCCAAAACTTCATAAAAAGAAAGAAGCAAGAGAAGTTTAACGTGTCATTTTTGATTTCGTCCATTATGTGCCCAAAGCTAAATCGTTTTCAATAGTCACCCTTTTAGCTCCATTCAACTTCTTTCTTTTATTTAGATAAAAAAGGATTCTAGCTTGGAAATATGCGGTCATAAACTTAACTTGTTACATCTTCTGTAAGTTCAAATAGTTCAACTCTCCCATTGTGTTCCCATGGTTTGCAATATTAAGACGGATGATTCCATCCTAACAGGCCAACCTAATAGGAGTAGTTCAATACTTTATATTTCGATTTATACGGAGTATTTTTAATTTTATATTCTGCTGGCGTGGGGATGGCTTAATGTGCTCTCTTGATTTTTTTCTTTCTTCTCTTATATGCCTGTTAATTTGCTCTTATTAACAGTGGTCTGCGAGGTTGTCTCTTTGGCATTGCAAATATGATCCTGGTGAGTATCGTTTCCTGGACTAGAATATTCTATGTTGCACATGCATACTCACTATAGATGTTCTCTTCAGTTCTATCAAGAACTCAAAAATTGGTCAAAATATGTCTGGTTTATATCTGGCATACCGAGCTAATGTTGTTGATGTTTTTGTTTTAAAACTTACCTTAGCAAATGGAGGTGTGGTCGCGTACATTATGCCCACCCTCAAACCACATTAGAGTAGCTTTACAAATTCATTTCAATTCTGACCCAGGAGTCTCTTGGAAACAACCTTTTTACTTCTGAGTAGGTAGCGGTAAGGTCTTTGTACACACACCCTCCTAGACCTTACTTTTTGTGGGATTTTACCGGGCTTCTTCTTCTTGTTAAAAAGTACTCCGTAATTCCCAAAGAAAAAATAAATGCTTAACAAGCGTGGAATGCCGTGGATAATAGTTTATTATATTTTGCAGGTCACAAGAATGAGAGAAAAACTATACTCCACTCTTCTTCTTCAGGTTTTTTTCCTTTTGAAAATATTATGTTTCTCAAAAGAACAGGTTCCCTCCATTTGTGTTGTTAGATTGAATTGCTAATTACGTTCGAGTTTTTATTCCAAGCCACCTAATTTGTAGGATATCTCATTTTTTGACACCGAAACGGTTGGGGACTTGACAAGTAGGCTTGGTGCAGATTGTCAGCAAGTGTCACGTGTAATTGGAAATGACCTTAATATGATATTTCGCAATCTGCTTCAGGTTATATTTCCAAACTAATTTTGAAAAATCTTCACTAGTTTGCCTAGAGGTTTATCATGGGAAATCTCATCATTTCTTCAAATCTTCAGGGAATTGGTGCACTGGTTTACTTGTTGATTTTGTCATGGCCGCTTGGCTTGTGCACATTAGCCATATGTTCTACCATATCAATCTTAATGCTATTATATGGACGGTAAAATTTCTTAGCTTCTGTAACATAATTTACATTACAATCACTTTCCTAAGTTGTAATGGTGAAGAGATCAAAGGGACTACATGACTACTTAACAATGTTCTTTCGTGCTTGACATTGGACATCTTAAGAGCCATGAACTCACATATAAATGTGAGGACGACCTCACCGAGTCACCTCTAGTGTAAGCTGAACCTCCTTTCTTTTTAACTTGTTCACTCTATAGGTACCAAAAGAAAGCAGCTAAGTTGGTTCAAGAGTACACTGCTTCTTCAAATGAGGTAATTTTGAGATTTTCACGTGCTCATTTTTTCAGAAAGTGTGAAAGTCTGAGTTTCCTTTTTCGTATTACATTAGGTTGCTCAAGAGACTCTTTCTCTAATGAGGACCGTGCGAGTGTACGGAACTGAGAAACTAGAACTTGGAAGGTAAACTACATGTTTTTAAATGCATATACCCTTCATTTCTAAAAGGGAAAAGATGTGGACATCTGAAAACTTTACCCGTTTATTCACTTTGCATAGAATAATCATGAGTATGGGCTTGTTTAAAAACCAGATACTCGCAGTGGCTTGGTAAGTTAGCTGATATAAGCTTGAGACAAAGTGCTGCCTATGGATTTTGGAGCTTTAGCTTCAATACTCTTTACCATTCAATGCAGGTCAGAATCTATTAAGACATTTTATTTACCTTATTGCCTTCATAAACAGAGTACTAGTGGTTCAAATGTTAAATGCAATTTGATTGTTTTAGGGGCGGAAAGAGCATGGTGTCCTTATTCGAAGGACCCTTAACACTTAATTTTTTTTTAATTTACACAAAAACAAACTTTTAGCCATGGTCTCTTGGAAATAACCTCTCTACTACGCACACACACTCACCCCAAGACCCTATTGTTTGCGGGATCTTACTGGTTTTGTCGTTGGTGTTCCCACAAAAAATAATTTTGTATTAGCAAATCTATTTATAGGTTATTGCTGTCCTTATCGGAGGGATGTTCATTCTAGACGGGCGTATAACAGCAGAGGAACTTGCAAAATTCATCTTATATAGTGAGTGGCTTATCTATTCTGCATGGTGGGTGGGGGACAATGTCTCATCACTAATGCAGTCTGTTGGAGCAAGCGAAAAGGTTTTTCGCTTGATGGATCTTAAACCCAGCAGCCAGTTCATTGCCAAAGGTCTGCAAAGCTTTACCACATTTTGAATGTGTTTCGTTTTTTTTCTTGGCATACATTTCAAAT